AATCAAAGCATTTCAATGGTGAGAAGTCAGCTTTGGAATGGCAGTTAAATGCCAATGGCTGGAGTGTCTGCTGGACATTTGGGGACCTGGTGTTGGTGGTTACTATGTAAAACCTGAAGGAATTCTTCATGGATGGAAAGATGATAACAGCTGGTTAACAATTTAGCAATTAGAGTTTTAGTGGCTGTTTTGAAGCTGACTCATGCCAATAAGACGTAGGGTTCAGTAGACAGGTATGTGTGTCAGACATAGAAAAGAGAAATGACAATGTGGAGAAAATGCCAGGACTGAGATCAGCAGGTGCTCAAAAAGGAGCTTAGAAGAGGAATTTCACAGATCACAGAAGCCCATAGACAAAGAGCAGACACACGAAATCTGTGTCACCTGTGACACTGACATATTGTGTGGCCTTTGTAAAGCCTCTTAATCACTTCATGTGTTAGTTTCTTCCTCTGTAAAATGGAGGCAATAATATTTATGCCAGTGGGCTGTTAAGGATTGATTAGATACTAGTCCAAATTTGTGCCTGGTGTAACTACATTGAAGTAAAATTATTAAGGATTTGTCTGGTCCTTTGTCTCTAATGTACTGTACTGTTCAACTATTTTACTCATATGTTCTTATGGTTAAAGTGCTGAACTGGAATTCCAGCGTTCCAGGTATCAGCTCTTCTACAGAATTCCTGTGTGACTGGGCAAGTCACTTCATATTCCCGTGCCTCACATTTCCCTTTTGTAAAACATTATTAATACCTAAAAAATAAGGGTGTTTGAGGATAGCTTCATTAATGACTGGGCAGCTCATATACTACAGTGATGAAGACATGCAAATACCTGGCTAGGTTTGCAAAAAATCTATACATTGTTTTGAAATTAACTTTATATTGGAATGTGTGGTACTTACAATAGGAGAGGGAAAATAAATATCAAAGGGATTGGCAGTAATAAATACCTATATCCACAAGGGAAAGTTGTTACCCCAAACCACATATGGAATGAACAGAAAAGCAAATAAAATATTTATAGCATTGCCTGAAGCAATATTGTAGGTCTCAACAGTGATCCATCTTGATTCAAGTAGCATGAGAAATTATACAATGAAAAATCAGTCCAGTAATGTTTGGATGGTGAAATGCCTTTAAAAATACAGCTTTTAATAGAATTGGAAGATTCTGAGCATATGGATGGAGGCGGCCATCTTATTGAAAAGCAACATCCTCTATGTCAATTTAATCTTGCTTTAAACACATCTCAGAAAAGAACTTTGTTATGTAAAAAGTGATAAGCATTTTGTTTACAAACAAAACATTATGGGTCAAAGTGTTAAGCAGTATTTTGAAGATTATGCCTGCAAATGCTGCATGCAGAATACTGTAACTTGCACATGTGATTTTTTATTTTGATTAAAGCCTCCATTACAAAATAAGGTCTTTATTGCCTGGAAAAAAGTGATTTTATAGGTGCAGTATTAGCCTTGGTCTGTACACAGATTGTGCACCAGTATAACTTTCCATTAAGGGAGTGATTTTCTTACCAATACAGTTGAATTGATGTAACCTCTAGTATGACACAGTTGTACTGATATAAAGGTGCCTTATACTGGCACAGCCTATTCCCCTTCCTGTAGAAGTAGACTTTTATTGTTATACTTTTATACTGATATAACGGCATTCGCACTGTGGAGGAGTGTTGCACTGCTTTAACTCTATCAGTATGTCAAAGTGGTACAACTTCTGTAGGGAGACAATCCCTTAAGGCACGCAGAATTAACCCAAGCTACCTTAGCATGGGTGAAGCTCTATTGCTACCAGACCCATGTAACTGCACCCACAGTGGTGCCGTACTAGTTTGGTGTGCTTAGCTACATTTTTGGCAGGGTATCCCATTGTTCTTAGTGGAACATGAAACTGGATTACTTTCTGAATATGTTCACAATATATTCATAGAGAACTTGTCTCTCTTCTGTAGGCTCCTGTGAGGAAATCTTCTTACAGATCTCACTCAAACAATGTACCTCTCAGGATTACTTTGGATGGTTAAGACAGCATTTCTAACAGAATTAAAACTCATTTTGTGTAACAGTGAAATCCATTAAGTGACCATTTTTGATGATTAAAAAGAAATAATGTGTTTAACATAGGCAGTTGTCTAATAAAAGTGGAGCAGAACTGTGCAAAATGTGTTTGAGGATACTGTGGATGATTTCTTAAGAGAAGTTACCCAATAAGGGTGATCTCTTGAGAGAGTATAGATTCTACTGTGCATCATGAAACCACTTTTCGCTGGAAGAGACTGAAGCTTAGAAATACAGATTATAATTAAAATAATAGAGAAACCAGTGAGACCGTGAGTAGAGCATCACCTGAGTTATGTTTCAGCAAAGGTATGAATACAGGCTAGAGACAGGAACCAATGGCTCTAAGCTCACAAGAGGTGTTCTTGAAAATTTCTGGATCAAAATAATAATAGACAATAGTGGCAATAAATAATTCTTAATTCTTACCTAGCAGTGGAAATCTTATAAGATCATCTCTTTTTGTGAGATTTGTACCCTCGTGGGCTGAAACCTTGTAAGCATGCATCGGCTGTGCACAGAGTGGATCTGAGCATTGATCCTTTTTATTTTTAAACCCAAAATCTTGAACCAGAATCACAGAACTTGTTTTGAAATCTGTGATTTGAATTGGAATCCTTCCAAAATTCAAAAGGCTTCAGAGATGAAGAACCAAATTTTTGTTAAAATATTTTTTCTGTGTCTCAGCTAATCTATGGGTGTAGTTTCCTTTTAAGTTCAGTGAGATAAGACTGGAGAAATGATTTTATCCTTTATTCTGGCAATATAGACTCTTTCATCTCTCGAGTTGAGTTAACTAACACCCCACGTGCTGAAAAACAGAATTTGTGGAGAGCAGAACAAAACTGGTTACAACAACCCACAAGAAAGGGAAACAAAAGACACTAAAGGTTATGAGTCATAAGGGTCAGGAAAAGATTTGTGGGGAGGATTTCTAAATCTTCCTTTGATGTTTTAATTAGGATTTTTTTCAAGTGCTGCAATCCTCCACAGAATGTTTTAGACAGCTCCACTGTTTGATTTTTTTTTTTCCACTCAGTTGTCTCATTTTGTCGTGATCCATGCCAAAGAAATTCCTGGCATAATAATTTATGACATAAAGGAGTTGATCTAATAATAAATAACAGGACTGGAGCCTCTAGTGTCACATACTGGGGCTACTTGTGTCTTCCTGTTTGCTTTGGGGAAAAAACCTTTCTTACTGCTGCTGGGTCATATAGAAACAAGAGCACTATGCTGGTGCTTGTAGATGTCATTTGTTTACAGTGTCTGTCACTCAAGCTTTTTTCTCCATACTTTAACTGGGTGTTTTAGCAGCTTGCTCTCTTCGTTCATGGATGGATGGTGCTTTCCTACCTATTATTCTTCCTCTTGCTCAATTGAATGAGTTTGATAAGCAAAATATCACAACTGGGCTATATGAAGAAATGAAACAAGGGCTATTTAGACAGGAACATATCCCAAGAGGGTTTTACTCAGGCTTTATCTGAGCAAACTCCCAAAAGGGGAGTTAAGGCTAAGTAAGAGCTCAGGACTTAGTCCAGTGAAAATTTCAACCTGTACCCTATTCATACTTGTTTTTCCCTCTTCCACAGTTAATTGTGGGCAAAACTGAGGGAAAAAAATCATGATTTAGGGCTGTGAACTATGAGACAGAAGCATCTCTTTATGTTATCATATGAAAAACAATGTGATCAGAGTTGGTGAACAGTTTCTTTAGGAATGAACACATGACAGAAGGCACATGTAATTAGAGGCAGGGTTGGCTTTGGGTGCTCACCACACCAGTGGATCTAGGGGAGCTTCACTAATGTAGATTTACCCACAGTTATCAGGGTGGGGAAATTTATCCTGGAATTCTTTTTCCACGTGACTTCCCTTCCTCCCCTCCCCCGCCTCTGTATCCTACATGCCAACCCTGTAGGACAGTTGAAGCACCCCAGATCTATGTTAAGTCTCATGATAATGAGCCATCATGATACAATTGTTTTCACGTGTCATTCCTAAATCATGGAGGTTATGAATAAGACTGGGGAACTACTAAAACTGTTCTTATGAGGGAAAATGAATGGTCTATGCACCTAAAGTTATGAGCTTTGCAGGTCTCTGAAACTTCAACACTTTCTTTCCACTTCTTTCCTTTGCTGGTTGATCCATGAAGCAAAACTGCTGTCAGCCTCAAAGAAGGGACAGGTACAAACACTGACATATACTCACTAGAGAAAAAGGCACAGGGCTTTATGGGCATGTAAGAAAGGATCCAGAGCAGCCTCTAAGGAAGGGATGAATGCACTATACAATGAAACCTGTCTCCAGATTATCAAGTCTCAGAGAAACCACGTTGAGTATTTAATGTTTCTTATTGTGATAGTTCTTCTTCTGGTGGTTGTGAAATGCCTGTGCTTGCGAATTTGAGACAGCTTTTAGCAAAGCTATATAGAGAGGCATCAGATGTGGAGGAAGGAGACTGGTAGCTAAATACATTCACATCCTCTTTTCAAAGTCAGAAAAGTTTAGATTATCGTCACTTGCTGTGAGAACCTAACTTTGAAATGTAAAGAAAAAGTAAGAAAAACGAAAGGCTCTTTTCATTTATATAAAAGAATTTGGCTTTGAGTAGCAAAACTGCTAGAAAGTACAGGTCCTGTGTTAGCAAATAAAAGGTTTTTCCTTCTTCCAAGAAGTGTACTGCAGCACTGCAGTCTGACAAGCAAAATTCTTTCTTGTGTGTTGTCTCTTTTGTTAAAATTTGTAAGCCTCAGTAAAAAGCATCTCATAAGAATGGCTGTGATTTAATATAGTTGCTCTATTTTGATTGCTTATAACAAGTTATTCACAAAGAGGAAAGATGAATTCATTATTTCTGCAAACTTCTTTGACCCTTTTGGCTTTGCCTTTGATATTTTGTTGTTGCTATTATTTTTCAGATCGTCATGAAATTATCACCAAAGAGATCCTAGAGCTGGATACATGGGAAAACCAATGGAATGTGGTGGCTATCAACGTCCTCATGCATGATAGCTACGATGTCTGCCTCGTGGCTAGACTGAACCCCCGGGATCTTATCCCCCCACCCTCTGACCTAGTGGAGCAATAGATAATGCACCTGGTTCTTATGCTTCCCGAGTCTGCTATAACTGAAGAGCTCAGAATAACGAGTGATATGAAGCGTGACCTTGGAGGTAGCCTGAGGTGACAACTGGGTTCTACAGAAATGAGTCTGTGATATGCTTAAGCCAGCAATGCCTTAGCACTGTGATTCTTGGCCACTTCTGTGTGCTCAGTATTGGTACTTCAAGCTTTTGTGATTGATACTACAGGCTTCCTATCCCAAACAGCCTCTGGAGTTGGTGCAGACACCCTCCCACAGCACTCCTTACGCGACTGTTTAAGCTTGAGAGTACAACACAGGCTGAGTTGCTGTGATCCTCAGAATCATAGTTGCAGCCCAAGACCCATTGCAAGGAGAAGCAATACATCTGAATGAGAGCTCTTGCAGGTGCAGATGACACTTCAAGAGAAGATTCTGCCTTCACATACAAACCATATTGATTTCAAGAGGGTTAGCAAGGATGTTAAGAATTTAGTCTGAAATTGATGCAGTTGTCCAAATGGGCTAGGTTGAAGCTGGCCCTCTACTAGTGCATGAGCAGTTGTAGTGAGAGAGCAGAGGCAAGGAGCTTTACTGTCTTTTGAATTCCTGCAAAGGGGCTACACACAGGAAGCACAGACTAGAGCAAACAATAACACTACCTTAAAGAGGTTGGGATGAGTGTGGCGGTGACCCTGCCTCCATCCCCTCAACAGCCTGCGGAGGTGAACTAGTTTGTGGGAGAACATTCTTCACCTTCTCTCAGGGTTCTGAAGCTCCTACACCAGTATCAGGAGGAATTCCAGCACTGAAGAACTTGTGCTGCTGTGTGACCAGGTATAGCCAGGGCCTTGAAGGAACCATCTGCTTCCATTTCAAAGCCCATCTTAGCTAGAACTTTGAACACAATGTTTGAGAGGAGGAGAGGGACCGAAATGAAACACAGACTTAAAAATTAAATCGACTCTATCATCATCCAGCAAGACTTGTTGCCATGCATCCACACACAGGCTGTGTTTAACCAACCCCCAGGGGCAATGGGACAGCCAACACTGAAGGAAGCAGCAGAGCCTCCATTCAGGCTCACACCTGCACTAGTCTTCCACCCCCCTCTTCTCTCCTAGAAAGCAGCAGGCATGTGCAGCAGTGGCTCCATGCACTGCCCAGCGCCTGGGCATCTTAGAACATTTTTGAGGAGTACAGGATCTTTCAAAAAGGATTTTATTTTCAAAAAATCCCCATCTAAACCGCTGTTTTTCTTTCGAAAAGCCCCTTTTCAGAAACCCCCCCCCCCCACGGCCACCATTATGCAAATGAAGCACAGGAAATTTAAATCCCAGCTTCATTTGCAATTTCAAAGTGTCTAATTTACATCCCTTTTTCGAGAAAAGGGATGTCATCTAGACACAGCCAAAGAGAACAAAGATTCCAACAGCAGCATCTCAGCATTCTAGCAGTTGTTTCAATCAGGCTATTGTTTAAATAGAAATAGCTTTCATGTAGCATGGGATAAACTCTGCTCTGAAAGAGGGATTTTGCTATTTTCAGAGGGAAGAACAGGAGTTCAGACAGAATGATCACACTGAGCTTCTTGAAGCAGCATTTGATTCACAGGATTAGGTGACTAGAAATGTGCAAGTCTCACCAGGTAGCTGGTATTCAGTTTGACTTAGTAATATCCCTTCATATGTAATCTGGTGCCTCCCTTCATTGTGTATCTGAGGCTACATCTACACTACGAGTTTTTGCGGCAGAAAATATGCTGAGGGACTCATTAGCATAAATTGCAATCTCATTAGCATATTTTCTGCTGATCCGTATTTTTGCTAGGGGTTTTTGCGCAAAAAGGAAATGTCCACACTGCTTGTTTTTGCGGAAAAATCCCAAGAGAAAAAACGGATCGGCTGAAAATATGCTAATGAGATTGCAATTTATGCTAATGAGTCCCTCAGCATATTTTCTGCCGCAAAAACTCGTAGTGTAGACGTAGCCTGAGTTTCATTGCGTAAGCAGTACAGGCAAGATGTTTGAGAAGCCGAGCACTTCTGTTGGGCTGAAATCACAACTGAGAAAATGCTGCTTTACACTCATCATTGCAGAACACAGAAATATGTTATAAAGTGCTGGAATTCTCAATAATTCATTTGCAACAAAAAGTAGCTCAGGGTCACAAGAGCAACAACAAAACTGGCAAGATGTGATCAGCAAAGAAAGCTTGGGTCCCCTCTGAGAGTCTGAGAAGAGGCACTTGCAGTGCAGAAGTCACATACTGGAATGGTGCGCCACATTCTTCTTGAACCATATATTGGGTTGCAAAAGTTCCACCAGTTTATAATTCTCCCTGCTGTGACCGGTGGCTGAAGGGCTGGAGAAAATGACCCAAATGGCCGTTCCCAGCTCTAATTCCTGTGATTCATCAACTATTCCTTTGAACATCCAGTGGGACTATAAATCTGTTTTATAAAAACACACAACAGGAAGTTCACCAAAGTTTCATTTCTATTTACAGTACTGCACTAAGGGTCAATTGGGCAGGGGGGTATTTTGGTTTTTAGAAGGAAAGAAGAAATGAGGGTGTGATCCTTCTGACTCAGCTCTTATCTCCATGCCTGTTCCGTGGGCAGGATATGTTTGACAGTCTAAACTTTCACATTCGTGTCTATCACTTCTGTAATGTTAAATCATTCTCGTTTCTTTCCTATGTTGACATGTGACTCAGTGTAACTTTAGGGCAGTGCTGCTGTCAAGATGAGTCTTCGTGGTACAAACTCAGTGGTGGCCCGTTCTTAGGAGCTCTCCTGAATACCTGGCTTTTGCTTTTAAATTGCTTTTGCTGTTAGTCTCTAGGTGACATTAACGTTGCCCTTTTACATGTTGTAAAAAACAATAGAGAGTTTACAATTTCTTAAATTGTAACAAAGGAATTTTTCCTTAACCCTTGTTGTTACTGCAGAGTAGTAAGCAAACAAAAGTTCTTACTGGTACTGGAGGGAGAGGGCACACCAGCTTAGGGAGAGGGCACGTGAATTCCCCAAGTAACCCCCTACATGACTTTGCCCTGTCCCCAGCCTGGGACCGCCATGCTCTTCCCCTTATTTCCCCATGCCACATGACCTGAGGGGACTGGGAGAGCTACCAGCAGCCAGAGGAAGTGCTGATCATTCTGCTTCTTACCCTCTTACCCTCCCAGCCAGGAAAAAAGTGGAACTCCCAGCCTTGCCCCACAGAGCTATAGCATCCGAGTACAGGGTTGGGAGGGAGGGGCTGGGAGTTCTCCTCCTTTCCCTGCTGGGAGGGGCAACGGGGAAAGGAGCAGAACATGAGCTCCTCTGGCTGCCATAGAACTCCCAGCCCTGCCCCCCCAGGCCCTAGCCCAGCACACAGAGAGATGGCAGCCAAAGGAGGGACTGGGGATGGCCAGTGGAAGTCCTTCCAGTACGCCATACTGGCTAAAATAACTTGTCAGTTAGGTATACTGGACTGTACCAGCCCACTTGCACCATTGCTGCAGAGAAAGGATGTCTGCAGTAGGGATGTTAAATTTTGATTAATCGGCTAATCAAGTAGTCAATGAAATTTCTCGCTATCCCACTGCACTTCTCCCTTTGAAACAGCTGCCTGCGGCTCTTGTATATTCCAAAGGGAGAGGAGCAGCAGTGGGACTGGCATGAGCAGGACTGTTTCAATCCCCGCTCGCACCATTTCCCCACTGCTCTCTGTCTCCCTCGCTCTCCACTGAGACACTGCTGGGAAGGCGGGGCCAGCTTTTAAGCCGGCTCCCCCCAGTACCAGCTCGTGCTCCCTCACTTGCTGCCTCTCTCTGATAAAGGCAGCAAGCAGGGGGAGAAGCAACTAGTTGAATTCCTACCCGACTACCTGATAAATATTTTCTTATTGGGTTGTCAACTAGTTGTCTAGTTGCTTACATTCCTAGTCTGCAGTGTTCAGTCATTACAATTCATCTACATCGCTGAATGATACTCTTGAATGACAGCTCAGTCAAGTGGAAGGTTCTTAAGGACATCATATTTATCTCTCTTCAAGATTACTTTGAATGCTATGTCAACATCAGTCATTTTTTTTGTATTTACACGGTGGGGCGGGGGAGAATGTTCTTTCTCTAACTTCTAGTTTCCTAAGGCTTAAAACTTAACTAGATCTACAGGAGGTCTGAAATACACTCCCCTATAAGAGCTACCTCTGAAGATCCTAGGGGGACTGAGGAAGGGACATTTAGGATTTGTGGTGAACACAGCTAAAGCTCCTCCATTGAACTTGCGTGCCTGGGGTGAGGTGACTTTTCATCCCCATTACTGAAAGAACTGGATGAAGACTGTGTAGTAGTCCATCAAGGTCTGTCTTGCTAGCAGAAAGTGGTATCAGTTGACATATTGTATACCCTGTGTTGGGATCCAGCTATCAGAGCAGGGGTGGGTTCTGTGAGACATTATTATTTAGCGTGGCTGGCTCATTAGCATAAGTTGTGTTCTCATTAGCATATTTTCTGCTGATCCGTATTTTTGCTAGGGGTTTTTGCGCAAAAAGGAAATGTCCACACTGCTTGTTTTTGCGGAAAAATCCCAAGAGAAAAAACGGATCGGCTGAAAATATGCTAATGAGATTGCAATTTATGCTAATGAGTCCCTCAGCATATTTTCTGCCGCAAAAACTCGTAGTGTAGACGTAGCCTGAGTTTCATTGCGTAAGCAGTACAGGCAAGATGTTTGAGAAGCCGAGCACTTCTGTTGGGCTGAAATCACAACTGAGAAAATGCTGCTTTACACTCATCATTGCAGAACACAGAAATATGTTATAAAGTGCTGGAATTCTCAATAATTCATTTGCAACAAAAAGTAGCTCAGGGTCACAAGAGCAACAACAAAACTGGCAAGATGTGATCAGCAAAGAAAGCTTGGGTCCCCTCTGAGAGTCTGAGAAGAGGCACTTGCAGTGCAGAAGTCACATACTGGAATGGTGCGCCACATTCTTCTTGAACCATATATTGGGTTGCAAAAGTTCCACCAGTTTATAATTCTCCCTGCTGTGACCGGTGGCTGAAGGGCTGGAGAAAATGACCCAAATGGCCGTTCCCAGCTCTAATTCCTGTGATTCATCAACTATTCCTTTGAACATCCAGTGGGACTATAAATCTGTTTTATAAAAACACACAACAGGAAGTTCACCAAAGTTTCATTTCTATTTACAGTACTGCACTAAGGGTCAATTGGGCAGGGGGGTATTTTGGTTTTTAGAAGGAAAGAAGAAATGAGGGTGTGATCCTTCTGACTCAGCTCTTATCTCCATGCCTGTTCCGTGGGCAGGATATGTTTGACAGTCTAAACTTTCACATTCGTGTCTATCACTTCTGTAATGTTAAATCATTCTCGTTTCTTTCCTATGTTGACATGTGACTCAGTGTAACTTTAGGGCAGTGCTGCTGTCAAGATGAGTCTTCGTGGTACAAACTCAGTGGTGGCCCGTTCTTAGGAGCTCTCCTGAATACCTGGCTTTTGCTTTTAAATTGCTTTTGCTGTTAGTCTCTAGGTGACATTAACGTTGCCCTTTTACATGTTGTAAAAAACAATAGAGAGTTTACAATTTCTTAAATTGTAACAAAGGAATTTTTCCTTAACCCTTGTTGTTACTGCAGAGTAGTAAGCAAACAAAAGTTCTTACTGGTACTGGAGGGAGAGGGCACACCAGCTTAGGGAGAGGGCACGTGAATTCCCCAAGTAACCCCCTACATGACTTTGCCCTGTCCCCAGCCTGGGACCGCCATGCTCTTCCCCTTATTTCCCCATGCCACATGACCTGAGGGGACTGGGAGAGCTACCAGCAGCCAGAGGAAGTGCTGATCATTCTGCTTCTTACCCTCTTACCCTCCCAGCCAGGAAAAAAGTGGAACTCCCAGCCTTGCCCCACAGAGCTATAGCATCCGAGTACAGGGTTGGGAGGGAGGGGCTGGGAGTTCTCCTCCTTTCCCTGCTGGGAGGGGCAACGGGGAAAGGAGCAGAACATGAGCTCCTCTGGCTGCCATAGAACTCCCAGCCCTGCCCCCCCAGGCCCTAGCCCAGCACACAGAGAGATGGCAGCCAAAGGAGGGACTGGGGATGGCCAGTGGAAGTCCTTCCAGTACGCCATACTGGCTAAAATAACTTGTCAGTTAGGTATACTGGACTGTACCAGCCCACTTGCACCATTGCTGCAGAGAAAGGATGTCTGCAGTAGGGATGTTAAATTTTGATTAATCGGCTAATCAAGTAGTCAATGAA